AAAGATACGTCATTAGATATGATGACAAGGTAACCTAAAATAAGCTTTGTACTATCAGTTTCGGTTTGCATTTTAGTGAACGCTCCTTAAGAAGTTGTAAAGCGGAACGTTGAGTGTCTAATTAAATAAAAACAATATTTTGGTGTTATAAGGTCGTTAATTTCTAGTATTAATATTTAATAAAGTGACTATTATTTTGTGTTAGATTTAATTGCATGATAATATTGATTTTTTTTTCATGTTACTTAAAACCGGAACAGTTCAGAAACGAATGTCAAGTTTTTGTTACTTAGAACAAACATTATTTCATCTTTATGATTTTCAATGCAAATTATTACATATATCTAGACATTACTAATTCATAAGTTTCGGCTAAGCGGTCTTTATCGATAGATATATTTTACAGGAGTAAGCTTCTTTTATTTCAGGAGTTACCTTAAACAGTCGAATTACACAGGCCTGCCATGGTTTTATTGTCTTGAAATTTTTACATGTTCTATGTAGAGCACAGTATAAAACAGCTCATAATAATACAAGTTCTTTGTTTTCCACTTCCTCAATCCTCGTAGAGCACAATATAACACAGTTCATTGTAATACAAGTTTTTCATAATTTGATTTAAGATGTTTTTTCGCTTATTTGCAATAATCAGCAAATGATTCATTTTTTCTTTTGTTTAGAAATCACATATTTTTTTCGATCTAAACCTTCCGACCCGCAGCCTAGAACACTAACCACCAGACCACGTCCAAGTTTATCACATGAAAAATACAGTGGCCTAATATGTATTTTGTATTGCATTCTTAGCTTGTCCTCTTACGTTTTTACCTTTATCCTGTATTATCTAGACTAGACGTACTTCCAAAGGGTCCCCGAAAGTGTTCTGTGTCAAGAGTAAATAAAACCAAAATTAAGAGTAACAAATATTTTTTATTTCTTGCTGTAGAGGTTCATATATCATGCTGTGTTGTAGCCTACAGAGTGCATAATTCTTCTCGTGATTCATGTGAGGCGCACGTTTTCGGACGTCACGTCAGTACAAATTGCAATGTTAAGCGTCCCTTATGTGACGTCATTTTAGTGTCTACTGACTGACTGACAGACAACACACTACTGTATAGTGGTGCGAGTGGTTAAAACAGGTGACCCCTTCGACCCACTTTCGGGAAAATTAGTACTCTAGTTTTTATTGCTTTTATTAACCGTTGAAAGCTATTTAGTATTTTTGCCGAACGTCTTAAAGATTTGGTTTCTTCAGAAATGAGAGAGAATTAATGAAGAAAAAAGTGGGCTCTACAACCGTGATAACACAGTCAACAGGTTCCCATTATTCGCATGAAACTGTTGGATTCATGTTTTTCATATTCTATATCACTGAGATGTTTAAAATGCAATTTCTTGTCTTTAATTCTCTTGTAGTTAGTTTGCACACTCACCACATAAACTATATTAAAACTGGGTTATGTAACGGTTGCTTGACATAGTAATGATGGAACAGTACTTTCCGGTTTATCAAAACCTGATTACTTCTGCAACATACGTAAATGTTTTCTGTTTAAAGCCAGCAGAACAACGAGAAGCGTCAAATACAGCGCCAAAAAGCTGTGGTATCTTAATCAACATAGGTCGCAACGCACGTGAAGCGTTAATTTATAAACAAGAAGTGGTAGCACGCACAGATACAACAGGCTATCAACCTAGCCCCTACCCACGCAGGGCGTAATTTCGCGAGTATCAGGGAAAAAACAGGACTTGTAATTTTGTGAATATCTGTGAAACCAGGACTTGTAATTTTGTGAATATCTGTGAAACCAGGACTTATAATTTTGTGAATATCTGTGAAAACAGGTCTTATAATTTTGTGAATATCTGTGAAAACAGGTCTTATAATTTTGTGAATATCTGTGAAAACAGGTCTTATAATTTTGTGAATATCTGTAAAAACAGGTCTTATAATTTTGTGAATATCTGTGAAAACACGACATATAATTTTGTGAATCTGTGAAAACAGGAGTAATAATTTTGATAATAACTGTGAGAGCAGGACTTGTGATTTTGTGAATCTGTAAAAACAGGATTTGAGCTATTCATACAGATATATTAAGCTGTCTGGATGTTCAATACACTTAAAACCTATGTTTCCGCGAACAGAAATTGTTCAGATCTAGCCGCTCACTAGACGAAGAAAACATTAGTGTGTTCGAACTCAAGGAAGGAACGGTAAAAAGAAACTAAGATCATACTACAAACAAGACTACCAACTAACACAACACTACAAACATCAACATCACTTGATCAGTTTGTACTTATATATAGAATGGCTCATTTGGTGGTATCTTCCTTTTTTTGACAGATTTATTGCGTCTACGCAATTTGCAAAAATTTCTAATCTTTGTCGCTTAATTTAACGCTAAAAACGAATAAAATGGTCTATATAGACATGTAAAATGTAATTGAAAATCTACGTCATTTAACCAAAAACTTACCCTCAAAACAAGATATTTCGCAAAATATACAGAAGGTCTGTGCGGCTCTTTTCTAATATAGCATAATTTGTGTTAGATATACCCGATGTTTAAGTTAATGCGAATATTATGAGTTAGATGGTTTAAGTATAGCCCGAGTGTTAAATTTAGTTATTTTTAGAAGCGAAAGTTATGCCAGATTTTTTAGGTAACTTTGTAAGAATCATACATTGTGTAGTTCAAATGTTGTGGTTTGACGTCATGTTACTCGAA